CCACACCCACCGTACACCCGCGCTCAGCCGCACCCACCGCACACCCACCCTCATCCACACCCACCGTACACCCACACTCATCCACACCCACCGTACACCCACACTCATCCACACCCACACTCATCCACATCCACCGTACACCCACACGCACACTCCCACGGAACTAGGACAATTCGTCGCGGGACAATTCATCGCGGACATTTCGTTGCGGACAATTCGTCGCATGGACAATTCGTCGGAAGACAATTCGTTGCAAGACAATTCGTCGCATGGACAATTCGTCGGAAGACAATTCGTTGCAAGACAATTCGCCGCAATGATATAATCCAATCACAACTTATATCTATGTTTCAACAATAAAGCGACTCATTGAACTAAGTTTGAAATATGTAATCCGGTGGCTATGAAAATTGTTGGAAATATTAGTAATGGCTAAACTTCTATTTTTGATCTCGAGCCGTACGATAATGTCCTTGTTCGCATAAAAAAATGGTTTCTTCGAGATATACAAGTGGTAAAAGTCTTCCTATGCTAGTGAAAGTTATTCTGCGCCTTTCTTTTAATTCGCTCTGCAGCTCAAGACTTTTAACAATGGGAAAATACTTTGAAAGGACGGGTAAAATTTTGCGTTTACTGAAGAAGAGCCACTTTGGCGTCATATCAGAAGAAAAAAACCTTTTAATGAATTTTTGTTTTCCAAACCTTTGCATTTGACGTACGAACTCTCTCAGTTTAGGGACCATCACTGGCTATTTTATATATTTAATACTAAACTAGTCGGATTCAATCGATGGTTTATACACTGCCAGGAATAGTTTTGATGATACCTCGTAATTGAAGGTTTTTGACACCCTACGACATCAATTTTGCAGTACGAAACGAGCCTGATTTCTTTTGTCTTGCTAGAATTCGTTATAGTGGCACAACACGAAATTAAAAACCGAAGTTTAGCCGTTAGCAATATTTCCAATAATTTGTATCGTCATTGGATTACAAGTTTCAAACTTAATTCAATGAGTTGCGACATTGTTGAAACATAGATATAAGTTGTGATTGGATTATGTCATTGCGACGAATTGTCTTCCGATGAATTGTCGGGTCATCCACCTCCATACCCACCTCCACACCCACAGCCGCAACCCACACCCACACCCACACCCAACACCCCACATCCACCCACACCCACACCCACACCCACACCCACACCCACACCCACACCCACACCCACACCCACAGCCACAGCCACACCCACACCCACACCCACACCCACATCCTCGCTCTGCTAGTACCCTTTCAGACTTTCGAAGGGTCTCCCTGGTCTCGCGCACACGAGTGAATAGAATCAGAAACGGACTAATGCGAATGAGCGATCGAAATGAAATTTATTAAAACAATCGAAAAAACATGGCAATACTGTTTACAAATGTTTTTGAATGTTTACAAATGTTTCTCGATAATCAGCAAGATGAGGATCAGTATGAGGTAATTTCTCTTGAGCAATACTTAATGCTTGTTGAATATTTTTCATTGCCATGTTATATTCTTGTGTAGACAAATACAGTTTTGCCATATTGTGATATAAAGTAGCAATATGAGGATGTTTTTTTGTTATTTTATTTTTATGAATTTCTAATGCTTTTTGATAGTAAGTTAGTGCAGTTGCATAAGCTTTCATTTCACGATATGTTTCGCCTAAATTCGTATATGTTGTTGCACAACCCAATGGACTGCATTGAATATTTTCTTGAATATCTAATGCCTTCTGATAAAATGCAAATGCCTCTGCATAATTACCCATTAAGCGATGTACATCACCAATATCACTGTATGTGATACCTAGGTTAGGATGTCTTACAGGTGATGTTATCTGTAATATTGCGAGACACTTCTGAAAGTAATCCAGTGCCTCTGAGTACTCTTTCATGTTGCGATACACTCTTCCAAACCAAATATATGTACAAGCAAAAGCTTCATTTTTTTCTTCAAATGTCTTCTTCTGAATTTGTAAAGTGTTTTCCAGTGCGTTTAGAGCTGCGGGATAATCACCCAATTTCTCATAACATGCAGCAAAACTCAAGTAAGAGTTTGCCAAACCGGGATGATTTTCAGGTAAGGCTATTTTGAAAATTTCATGTGATTTTTCGTAATATTCAAGTGTTTTTTTGTAATCACCCATGTGGTTATATATGTGACCAATCTGACTGTACGAATTAGCCAGATGTGGATGATTTTCAGGTAAGACTTTTTTTGTGATTTCGAGATCTTTTTCGTAATATTCAAGTGCTTTTTCATAATTATCCATACTACGATACACTTGACCAATGTGACTGTACGAAGTAGCCAGATGTGGATGATTTTCAGGTAAAGTTATTTTCCTGATTGCAAGTGCTTTTTCGTTATATTCAAGTGCTTTTTTGTAGTCACCCATGTTGTTATATACTAAGGCAATGTTACCGTACGAAGTAGCCAACTCGGGATGATCATGTGATCGAATTTTTCGATATACTTTGATTGATTCTTCAAAGAAATCCAGTGCCTGTTTGTAGTCTCCTTGGCTATCGTGGATAATCCCAAGTTGATTATAACAATACGCTTGATCGAAATCACTAGCAGCCTGTTCTAAGAGTAACTTGTATATTTCTTCTGCCTTTTTGTTTTCATTGATTTTCCATAATAAAACACCCATTTTTTGCCAACCAGTTCCCGTGAGTTCTCGTCGTATATGTTGGGCTAGTCTTGTAAGTTCTTCGTCATTCTGTTCACTAGTCAGTGTCAAGTTGACTTGGCGTATGCTCAGGTCACCTTCTTGTATGTCTCGAATCTGTCGGACCCGAAATACTGTGTGTGTCGAAAAAAGAATTTCTTTTTCGTCGGGATACTCGCTGAATTCGGCGATTCGCGCATATGGCACTGATTTAACTGATGGATCAATTGCGATAATAAATAAGACGCCAATTTTGGTTGGATCAGATTTCAGTTTTCGCTTGATGAAGTCAGTTGCAACATGTCTTTCTTCACTTGTAGATAAAAAGTTATTATAGGACAAGAATTTGTCTTCTTGCACTTTGATGTGGAAATCTTTGGGTCTCATAGCTTCGCCACGGAAAACTGTTTTGGAGAATTGGGCATCATTATCTTCCATTTGTTTATCATAAAGCTCTTCGACATTTTGATGTAGGTCGCGCATAAAAAATCCTGTTTCAAGTAAGGTGCTAACATCTAATCGACCAAGTGCTTTGTTTAACATCTTGTAAGTGAAGCATTCCCCTGAATACCAGCGAACAGGGTTGTTGTCGACGTTACCGTTATACTCTTTAACAAATTGATCGATGATTTGACGTTGTTCTGGTTTATCTTTGTATAGCTTGCGAGCATGTTCGGCAAGAGCTCGAATATCTTTCCTCAGATCGAAATCAATTTCAAGTACTATTTGCTTGAATAACATCGAATACATAAATGACGGTTCAAGTTGACCAGTAATTTTGACATCTTCATCATCACATTCTCTTGCTACCTTGCGAAGTTCAGTGCATATTAATTTAATATCTGTAAATACACCACGTACTTTGGGCCATTCTCCAGTTGCCCAATGTTCATACTTTAGTTTGTTGAAGCAAAATATATACATTGCGTAAACCTGCGACTTGTCATGTGTCAGTGGTACGACATGGCTGGCTAATTTACCAGATACGACTAGAAAAATTCTTCTATTTTCCGAACTTGAAATATATTGTAAACATTCATTAACATCATGAAATTTTTCTGTAAGATCGATTGTTCGTTGCAGCTTCGTAATAGAATTCCGAAAATCTTCGTTTATCTCATCTAAGTGTTTATCGGCCCATACTAGGGAGAAATTCTGCACAAGCTCTTCTATTTGTGCATATTGTTCACCGGTTTTTCCGATTGCGGTGGGCTGTTGAGGAAGTTGATGATATGTCCTTGAAGTGACGTGATTAGAATCAGCAAGATTGACAGTGTTGTCTGCCATTGTCGATGCATCACAAATCATCTTTTGTATTTAAACTACGTATGTGAAATGAATATGTATTTCATCAAAGTTAAATTTGGAAGAAATGACGAAATACCATTCAACGAAAATAGTCTCTCAGTTAAACAAGAATATTGCTTCGTGACGATTTTTCTTTTTATTTACATTGAAGGATGCAGATTGTAACGATGGCTATGGCAGAAAAGGTAGATGCTTCTACTGTTGTTAATTTTCTTTTGTTTATGTTGTTAGGAGTAGCAGTCTATTACGTAGGTAAAGTTAGCACAGATTCGAGTATTTTCAGCCCCGATTCGCTACACGACTTGTGTCAACTCTGAAATCATCTATTTTAGATGTATAATTAAATTCTCTATAGAGTGATGCAGGTTTCAATGGGGTTTATACAACAAAACCCCACTTTTTACGTGAAATACTGCTTTTTTTACTTATCCAACTATCTGAAAGAACAGTATTTCTAATCTTGATTCGTTCTGCAACTTGTGTTGACTCTCGAATCGCTTGTGTTAGGTGAAGTATTGAAATGTGTATCGAATGCTGGAAGTTTGAAGAAGATTCATCGGGAGAAAAGTGAGTTTTGCCCCAAACACTTGGGTGTGGACGTAATACACAAGAGTCACATCCGCACGCACACCTCTCGAGTTCTATAAATGATTTTTCCCACGAATTTTTCAGACACCCGTTATGTTAATTTCAAGCGACAACATTAGTGCGAAATTAATTCTGAACTCAAGAATCGATCTCAAGTAATGCACTATCGTCGATTGATTTAGACTTATTAGTTGTTGAATGGAAGTTTGATGATTAGTTTCTACTGTCGATCACTATGATGCATTAGAATTTGAACAACCTATCGGTTATATGTATTTATTCGCCATGTGCTTTTGTTAATTTGAAAAGGGAGTGTTTTACATAGATAGGGAATAGTCTAGCAAACTAGAGTGTGATTGTGTTTGATTTTTTGTCTTCCGATTTTTATAAGCACATAAATAAAAAGTCTTACCTTGTAGCGATAGAAAATGAAGCAACTCAAGCTTCACGGCTTCTTACATAGGCTGTATAATCAATAGCGAGCTTTTTCTCTTTAATAGTCTTTTTCGTTATAAAGCGCAACCGAAAAGCAAACTTTACGCATATTTATTCTACCAAAGGCGATGAAAAATAAATATGCATAAAAACGACGCCTAATAAGAAACACCTTACTGCCTCGCACATGTCAAGAAATGCTCAGACGCTTTGATTGCCCATGGAAAAATGCTAAGTGAAACAAACGATTAAGAACACGTTTTCGACAAATTGGAACGCATTTTATTGACTCAAAACGTGTTCTTTAAAAAATTATACTCGTTCTAACACGTTGTTTAAAAAACTGAACCCGTTCAAACGCTTTTTTATCGATAAGCAACGTGTTTCTTTTCATAACGAACACGTTAGTAACGAACGAATTCAAATTGATAAGAACTCTATATGAAGGAACCCATGATAACGTGTTCAAGAAAAACTTGTTCTTGTAACTGAAAACCCATCATCTTAAAAACGCATGAAACTGTTGAAAGAAGAACGCGTTCATACAGTTTCAGAACAGTTTTCTATCGTGTAATGTGAACGTTTTCAAGATTTTATCGAATTGATTCCTGAATATGAATCAAAATGGATGCACTAAAACACGACGCTAATGAGTATCTTTCCATATTTTGATACGAAAATTCGTGTCTCCAGCATACATCCTAGAAAAAGACTGTTCCTAATTATTTAAAGCAAATATCTCCAAAGAGAGTCGCAATAGTTGTTTTTTGTGGAACAGCTATGTGTTTTTAAAGAAAATAGTGGTTGTAAATTTTGTGTAGAAGTTTCTCGAGTTGGTCACCTGTGTAGATCACAAAATATAGCCTTCTTCCTCATTACAGTCCTGGACCTACAGGAGTAAAGACGCTGAGCGGTACTAGTAATAAGATTTCGATTGCACTAGAATATTCTACAATTTCATGAACTCCTTGCTAAGAATAAATGAGTATAGGTCGTTTCTGAAAGATTACAGAGAGAAAGCTTTTTGATTTCCATGCAGAAAAAAAATTCAATTGAAAATGTGAATTATTGTTCGTAGTGATTCTTTGATCTGCTGCAACTCTCAGTTAATTAATACAAAATGGATGAATAAATCAAGAGAAAAACTTTAAGAAGTAATCAATTTCACTGATTGTGGATAAATCGAGATAGAATAGTGCAGTAAGACTGACTACTGCAGGTTTAAAAGATATGTTATGCGACAAATAAAAATTCACGAAAATTCAAAATTCTCCCAGGTGCAATTGAAAGCTTATTTTCTACTTAAAGAGAATTATGAATTTTCCTGCACGAGAAGCAGGAATTTCAATCTCCGCTAACGAAAATGTAAAATATTTTTCAATTCCAATCTTGTTGAATCAAATATTTAGAAAGTGTTATCATCGTTCTAATTCAGGATTCATGAAAGTAAGAAGTTTCAATTAAGAAAATCAAAATAGAACAATGGCAACTACGGAGTAAATAGTAGCAACGGAAACAAAAAAAAGAACATCTATAAAAAATAAAGAAAGAGGCTTCTTTTAAAAATGCAGAATTAACTAGGGCAGATTGTTATTCTGGTAATTAACTAACTTACTATATTGGAACATAACTATAGTCTACAAGAAACTTTTTAATTCACATATGTTGTGTTGGCTAAATCAGTCTAATGCACATGTCTAAGTTTCATATTTTAGCTTCAAAAGTGTCATCATGACAAGTCTTTTTAGAGAATTTCTTTTATGTACATTCTCGAATCTCGTCTTCTTTCTTATATTTACAAAATAGTAATTGAAAAATTTTTGATCGATTTTAAATACTAAAAAAAAATGTACAAAATTTATACTAGTGTCTATCTCAAATTTACTAATCACATTTTTATTTGCGATCGAATTCGTCATTTACTTTTACTCATAGTACAAATCAGGAGTGCCGATTTCTAATTAATTTATATTAAATTTAACTTTTTAAAATTTATTAAAACTTTATATATTTACTCAAGTCAAGCTTAAATCAGTGTAAATTCAATTGAAATTAGTATGAATTTAATTAAAAACCATTTCATTGTATTTAAATCCCATATATATTACTGTAAATGGGTTTAAACAGCATAAAAAACATTTAGGTCCAATTAATTATATATTTAAATTGAATTTGAACTACTTTAAGTTGAACTTTTATTAATTTATGCTGGATTGTAATAGTTTTATAAAATGTTTAAAAATATTAAATACTTAAATTTAATATAAAATGAAATTTATAATATTTAAATTTAAAATAAATTTAACTGCCTAAAATTTAAATTTTAACCAGAATCACTTTTAGATTTATTAAATTTTTGTAAATTTGAATTGATCATCCTCAGCTTAAATGTCGTGTAGTCAGAATACACACAAGTTTTGTTTAATACAAATAGGAAATTCAACAGTTCAGATACATGTAAATATAGTCCAATGGTATGTTCACTGCTTCGCATCTACACGTTTATGTGGTTGAATCTACTCCAAGGTAATAAAAAAACGAGTTCGGACGCGTTCAGTGAGAACGAAAGTACGCTAATAGAGAAACCAGTTGTTTAAGAACGTGTACGAGTAGTGAAGAAACACGTTCAAGGCCATGACAGACTTGAAAATAAAATGATTTTTTTCTTCAAAAGAATAACGCGTTCTTATTGGGGAAAACGTATTCCTGTGAAACGTGTTGTGACACCGCTTTTAGCGTTCTTCTGAAACCCGATTTACCACTGAATAACTGTTCTTCTAACACAGTATTGTTAGCGTATTAGAACGCGTTCTTTTTTCTACAAATAACGCGTTTTTCATAACGAAAGTGCGTTTCAAAAGAACGAACCTAGCGTCTTGCAAACGCGTTTTTTTATTTTCACAACGCGTTCTGGTCCGTTCTTTTTTTATCCTTTTTTTCCATGGGTGATCTTACTAGGGTGTCGAGTGGAAAGGTATGGATGTGAATGGAAGACGAAGATTTCCTCAGACTCTTTACCACGATTACGTATATTGTGCAAATTATTATGCTTATGCCTATTCTACTCATTTTTTTCCGTGATCAATTCAGTTGACAAACTTTGAATTTTCTAAAAACTGCTAGAAAGCAACTAATTCGATATAGGCGTGGCGCCAGGTATCATTCTCTAGTGATGGAGATTTCTACACACGTTCATGTCCACACCCACACCCAGGATTATTGATCCAAAGTCTATTGAAATAGAAATTCAATGAAGAAAAAAAATAATAAAAATTTATACCAATTTACTGTCGATACATGCTGGAATGTATAGGTTCAGCACAAGAATCTGTACCTGTCAAAGCTGTATATTGCCATAGACCACCCCAGTCTGCCTGTCGTTCAAAACAAACAAGTTCAACACGTTGTTCTTCTTCAACTTGTTTGAAAACAATTAATTGTGATAAACCACTTGGACCAGCACCAATAATAACTATTCGTTTTTTCGTGATGCCCATCATTCTACTGTTCTTGTGTCTTTTGAATAGACCTTATTACACCAGCAATTGATCGACTTTGATTTGTTAACTATTACAATAGCATACAACTGAAATATATTTGTACGTGTTTCTCTTATAAATAGAAAACTTGTCAGTTTCTTTGTTAGTAAATAAAATGAAAAAAAGATGCTTTTTCAATCTAATTATGTTCTGATATGAATGTGTTCTACTATGGTGTGAAGTGTAGATTTCATGTTATCATTATCAAGATTGACTTACTTTTTCAATGCCGCACGGGGCATATCTTTTATATAGTCATTCGTGAGCTGTTGTTTTTTAATACTACGTTTGACTTCGCATTTATGTAATCCTATCAGAGTTTATAGTTTTTAGTGAAGTGTGAAGTACCACATTAATGTAATCTTTTGCAAGTTTTCGTTTTTTGTACTTTCGGCTTGGTTAAAAAGAAAGACAATATCTTAAAATTCATCAGCATTTTTTTCCATAAATTTTGAATGCTTGAAGGAAGCATCATGGAAAATACAAAGTTAAACTTCTTGTTGATGTCTCTAATGAGAATAGATTCTTTAATATAATTATTTATTCATATTAGTCCAATTCTATTATAGATTAAATCATGAAAATCAATGATATAATCAATACTATGAAATGTCTGATACAAGTCATTACAGTATTAAATTTGTTTTGCTGCTTCACACAAATCAGTGAACTGCAAAATATTTATACGAACAATTATATATTTGAATTTGATAGATTTTTTAATACTTTTGTTGAAATCAATATTCTTTCTCTAGAGAGATCACTATTCAGATGCTTATTCACTTCTCTACGATCAAAGACAAATATTTAAGAGCCATTGCCTGTAAGAATCACGGATTTTGGGAAGTGACACCCATCAGAACTGCCCGAAAATTTCAGGTTATAGAGAACAAGTTGTCCTGATTCCAAAAATCGAATTTTTTTTAAGTACTCATAAGGTAATAAAAAAGTTATGGCTGCCTGAAAGTGCTCAAAATCGGTAAAAATCCATTTTTTAAATTGTCGAAAAAGTTTTTGATATACCAAGAATGTAGAGCTCGTCGAGCTGATCATTTTTTACATTGGCAATATTTCTCTAGAACGTAAGCTTCAATCACTAATTTGGCTCACAAGTAGGCAAAAATTAAGAATTTCATCTGTTTTTCCATAAGATCTCATATATCACCATTAAAATTCAACACAAGTACTAGTTCATAATACATAGATGTAATGATCTCACTATCAGCTACACGCTCACGTGTTGACCGACTCTTCAAATCTCTCCCTTTTAGGGTTATGCCGCAAAAAACATCGAAAAAGTGAAAAAAAGGCCCAACCCTTCACTTGTTTCGATTCTTTTACAAAGATATTGGACCAATGACTTCCAATCCAACAGAATCTTGTGCAGAATAGTCCATTCTATCGGAAAATGTGATTTAAGAATTAAAAAACTACTTCTAGAAGTTTTTTTTAATATGATTAACGTCAGCTCAAAATTGATCACAGATTCAGAATCTGCGCCGAAATCAACATATAGAATTAGTCTGACATTTACCTATGTGTACAATAGCCTATCAACCGATACACGAAAGTACTATACATAAGAATATATTTATATATCAAAGGATGAGTCGCGGTTTCACTGGTTTTCATTACAAGAGATTTGTTTCAGATTTTATTTGTATATTAATCAGGGTAACTCGTTGAGTTTTTCTGGCGGGTCAAAACGTTCAAATTTAACTTTCCAATTTTTTGTGCCTGGGGTACCCCAGGGACCGAACAAAATTTTTTGGCTTGAATTCTGATTTCGTATATATCCTCCGATAGATCTCGTCGCGTTGATCGCGAATGCTGTGCGTGTGAGTGTGAATTAAAGTTGGGACCCACACCCACACCCACACACCCACCCTGCTGTTTAAAAAACAAACAAATTTTCACATTTGACGCGCTTATACGCCTTTATCTTTTCTTTTGAATTTAATATAATTGTTTGTTTTCGTATATATATATATATAGTTTGATGTAAATTTTGAATCAAAACAATGAAAGAAATTAAAATAACTAATTGACATCAGTGGAAAGGCATGATTTTTCTCACTGAAGGAACTTAATTTTGAAAACCTTTTTTTGAATTTTCACATGAATTATCTGCTTCATTTCCAACTAGCTTAGTCTCATGATATTGAAAATATATGTACCAAGGGATGTCATATTAATAACACATAACAAAGAGTCGTGTAGCTACCTATTTTGATCATTATAAACATTTTATTCACTGAAAAGAAATTATCAAATCGCCAGTTTTCGCCTGTCTGGAAAAAGTCTTTTGACCGGCCAGATCGGACCGATCTAATTTTTCTTGACCGGTTACAACTCTGCCACACCCACACTCATCATCGATCAGATGGAGCAAGATGATAGTAACTAAGAGCGTCCACAAATCACTCCTCCCAAGCTCTTGGAAGTGATCAAATGTTCGAACGATTCCGCCTTCTATCAACCATCCTTCATTCGGGACTACACTCAATTATTATCCAACTCGAATTCCAATTGGTTGATCTTTATTTCGCGACTGAAATGACAAAATAAAGGAAGTTTGAGAGCATTTTGTAAAAGAAAATTGTGCAAATGAAGGATTAAAAGAAACCAAAGAAAAGAAACGAGTACCAGGGGTTTTTGACCTGTCACAGGGAATAAAAACTCTTTTCTGTGGCAATAAGCAAACACCGCCGTATAGTGAACGCTTTTAAATAGTCTTGACGGTGTTCACATTAGAGAGGTTTTAATGTAATGAAAATGGAGAATCTTTACAATAGAAACAATAATACACTCTGATTATTAGTCAAATATTATAACTAACCTTGCTTTTTCTAATACAAGAATGTTATTCTGCAGAAAGAGTGGGCATTGCTGTGTTTTATCACACATATAATCAACACTTCTTATTATTTTCTTTTCTTATCTTCAAGATGAAAAACAGAGATGAAATAAGACACAGGTAGCAGAGCTAGAATTCAAAACCAGGTCACAGATGCAGATTTGAACATGGTAAGTTTTCTATAGTTGTAGACCTTAGAGAAATACGAAACTGAGTTTTTATAGTAAGACTGACACTTGACCACTGTTACATAGGTTTAGTCATTTTTGACATGTAGTCCTAAGAAAAATTTTCTTTTCGTGTTCTCAATATACCACTTTTCTATATGTACTTTAACTAATTTTCAGGGCCAATCTACTGGGGGATAAGTCATTTGATTTACATTAAGTGGCAAGCGTAGTATTTGACGAACACGTGTTTCGTGCACTTGGTTTTCAAGCGCCATACCAAACTCGATCGAAGGATAATTCTTGAAATTAGAACGTGAAAATTTTGTGTTATGATGTCGAACTTTGTTTGGATCATAGCATCATTCTTCCTTTGTTTATAATAAGCTGATGCAAAACTACACGTTGTAGACATTGTTCTCTATTCGACTTCAGCGAAAAACAAATCAATCGATCTTATGTCACAATTTTATCGACAACGATTGATCTAAATCAGATGGATGCACAGTTTGATTTCCCAGCCTTGCTGCTCAAATGCAAGGCCTTCTATCAGACAACGATCAATGTCGTCTACATTTTATCCTTGGTAAAGACATCACAAAATATTTGTGTGATAATCGGTCGCTTGGTGTAACACTTCGTGTACTCGAATCTCTTCTCAAAAAGGCCGTCATCAGCAATCAAAATGGTGATTATCATCCTGAAGTATTCTACACAAAACGTTCTAATGATGCCGCAAAATGACTTCAAGGTTTGTTCCTGCTGATTTACATTCGTTGACCATCTTATGTCTTTCAGAGTACGAACGAATTTACGATAAAAGCAATCAACGAACTTTCTCACTCTAAGATATTCTTTTTCAAGACAATGAAGAGTACTAAATTAGGATGTGAGTGTGGATGTGAATCTTCAGTGTGCATACACACTCACACCCTTCTCTACGAAACGCCCAGACCCACACCCTTCATATCGTATATTGAATTCTTATTTATTTTACAATCCTGGCAAGTTTTTACTTTGTATTTACTGAAGAAACTTCATTAAAACACATTTATATGTAAGTTTATTTCTTTTGGACTCAGTCTATTATTGAGAAACACAAGAGTTGAGATGAACAGATCGATTGTATCTTTTTCGTCAAGAGAAAGATCCGTCGATTTTTTTTCCTATCGAATTATATTCTTAATCAATCCCCAACAAAGTTCTTACTCAATTGATAATACCATTCTCGTTCCAATTGATTCTTCTCAGAGACTAGAGCATTCATCTGTATGAGATAATCATATTCATTAATTTTGTCTTTTTTTGATTCTATTTCTTCCATTTGATCTACGAAAACTTGTGTGTGTTCTGTGATGAAATCTTCGTAACGTTTTGATAAATATTTAATCCAATATTCCTTATTCAAAACAAAATCAATCAAATAATCTGATCCACGTTCGTTTTTTTCGCGTTGAATGCGTTCGACTGCTTTTCTTACATCATGATGATTTGCTAGAGCCATTTCTGGTTGATACATATAACGTGGTATTTCGCAGCCCAATGGCATTTCCAAAGTATTTTCAGGAGAAGTGTAGAAAAACAACACAGTTTCTTGCGCATCGACAATTTCCTCTTCAGCAGTCGCGTTGTTTTCATACGAGCCTTCTTGGGCGCGTAATAAAGCGAGTTCTTGTAAATGATAAAAATTAAAGGCTCGTTCGATTTCCTGACGAACCTCCTCATCAGATAATTGTAATTCAATTATTCGCTGTTCAATGTGTTTGACTTCTATTTCGAATAAGGAAAATATAATACCGTCATGAGATGTTGCAATAACATTAGATGCTGTATAATAACACAGTTTACGTAAATCCGGATTACTCACCATTGCATTCAGCAATGCACTGATACGTTGTTTAAATACTTGGCGATATTTTTCAGCTTTTGGCAACCTGAGCATTTCTTCATAACGTGCTAGCCATATTTCGAAATAACCTGATCCTATTTCATTTTGAAAAATTTCTTTCCATTGTGCTGCAAATTTAGGAGAAAAATCGCCAAAAGCTGCCAATGGAAGTTGGTCTTCCACTTGAAGATTTTTGATATGACGAATTTTTTCAGGAAATTTCAGAATACGATTATGGGTCAACATTAACGTTTTAAGTTTTGATAGATGTCCCAATTCTCCTGAAACCTTTTGAAGCTGATTACATTCGGCATTGAAGTATTCCAAATTTTTGAACTCCTTGATAAAATCAGGTACATAAGACAATACATTATTGGAAATGTTTAAATTTTTTAAGAAAGATAACTTAGTTAAAAACCGTGGTATTTCTGAAAAAAAATTGTTAGCGATTGACAAGTAATGTACATGTTGCATTTCTCCGAAAACATCCGGAAGAGTAGAAAGAGAAAGAAACGATAAATCCAAACTGTCTGAACGTTGTTTAAAACAATTGGTGATTCTTTCTTTTGCGTCTGTGATCTCTATGATAGCGTTAGGATCCTCCCATGTTTCTAAAAGTTGTGTTAATTCTGACAAAGTCATAGGTTTTTTCGATGATAATTTTGCTTTTACAGAAAGTGTACTTTTCAGATCATTTTCTTGTTCAGATACCAATGCTGTTGAAGAACTTTGAAGCGGTTTCCTGGTCGAATGAGATTGCTGTGAAGTGGGTTGAGTTTGGCGTTGAGCTAATGCAAATAAAGCTCCACGAATCATAGGTAGGTCCATTACTTTTATCAAATACTGCAAAGAAAAAGCAAGCAAATTTTTTAGTCTCGATTTCAATGTTCAAGTTTTCAAACGTTGGAAGTGCAGATTAACGATGATAAAAGAAGTTACCATTACGCTAGCAAGTAACGAGTAGGATGTGGGCGTGGGTGTGGATTGAGAAATCACAGAAAGACCCACAATCATTTTCAAAATATACTCCGTTAAGGAATTTCATTAAAGGAAAATTGTTTCACAATAAAAAATCCCAACAAAATAACGCTTTCATATTTATGACGACACTCTTGTAAAATTTTGTCTCAACTTATATCTTTGAAAGTCCAACCTAACAATTGCTGGTACCTGGGTACTCCCCAGGAATCAAAAAATATTTGTGGTCTTCAATTTAAAAGTTTTCTATTTGACCTCATAGAATTCATCGCACGAATCATGAATATAATATTTTTATTGAAATTTAAAGAAATACTAGGGAAAACATAAGGATCTTTCCGGTTTAAATTTTCGTACGACGATCCATGGGGTATCCCCCAGGGCCTAAAAACTGTGAAGTTGGATTTCAAAGCTCTGACCTAAGAAAAAATCTTAGAAGAGTGAGTACCCCCTAAATGTGCACTTGTTATTTGGTTCCAATTTCGTTAAATGAAAAATAATGAAGTTACTACTACTCCTTTTATATTGAGTTAAACTACATACAGGTAAGAATAAAAATGGTTGAAATAGGTAAGTAAAGCATGTGATCTCAACCACTGCAGATGCAAATATAAGTAAATCTATTAATAGTTGATACTATTTTGGAATTTTAAGCAATAGAATCTTTCACATGAGAATGTTTGGAAAAGAAAATGAAATTCCATGACGATTAACCACGCCCAGCTATAGAGTTCAGATCGGTTCCATTTTTGAGATAAATTTTTTATTAAAGATGGTGCTGCAAAAATGTTCAGCTTTAGAATATTTTGTGTAACTGTTTCTTTCTTGATAAGCCTGGAATTTGATTGCTAATAAACAAGAATTCTGTCGTGAAACGATTTTTGGAGTTGTTTTCAGTGAAAACCGGAAGATTCATAGGTTACTACTAATATATAGTCGGTTACCCGCCGGCCTCTTCGAGTAATGCGGTATATGGACGGTACTAAGGACGAATATGTGTCATGGAAATCTACCTACTGTAGTGTGATTATTAAACTTTGAATGGATGTAGAGAACGATTAAAATGATATTGCATAAATGACATGATTTGCTTTATACATCTCTATTTATACTGGTACGTTAAGTGACTCATTGATCAGCTTTTGAAAAATCCAACACACAATTTTCACTATCGAATTCTCTTTCGCCGTCTTTTTTTTATTGCTCTTGCGTATGTTCTTTGAGTTGCTGAGTAATCAATCTGCAATGTTTCGATATTGATGAAAATGTTATCAAGCGACATTAGATGTTAGTAGGAAAGTTCCAAAATAATAAAATTTTGAATTGATTCATAATAATTTCAGTTTTCTGGAAGTTTTATCTTTGCCTGATACCGCCTGATATTTAAAGCAGGAAGCAAGCATGACTATTATCAGAAACATAAGTAATATGTGGCAAGAAATGACACACTAATATTGATCACGGCATCGTTGGAAAAATTTTTTCTCCATCGCTAAGTCTTGTGTTTGATCATATTGTTGTTCTAGTAATTTTCGATTGCGTAGATGTTTCTTTTTTATGTGCAATGTCCTCGTTGCATTAGCTATTTATTGATGTGGCATTTCTATTTGTGTTGCTGATATCAATTCATAGCAAACACACTGAATATCTTGACTATTAGTTTTCGATGCCGCTATATTCGTAGCTCTATTTGATTTCATGATGAAAGAAATATCTTTTAAGTTCTATTCTATTGTTGAAGATGGAGTTTCTGAAGCAAGGTTTATGTTGAACTTCATGTAGTGGATAGCAGATGTCGAAATGGGGTGGATTTTTCACTATCTGCCCCACTCAGTCGAAAGCTGTTTCCATCCGACCCCACCCCGCTCTTTATTGCTTTTTGCTTCACCGTCCTCACCCCGACTTTCCCCCACCCTTTCTTGACGCTTTTTTGCAGTCCAAAATCATTAATGATTTCAACACTGAAACACAATGACATGTATCACAATAATCTTCTATGATTTATTACAAAAGTTGTACAGTGTATATACGAGTTTGTGTATGTGAAACTGAACAACAGAGCAATTTTCAGAGCATGTACTTCATTCAGACCAGTTCCGTCATGACCTAAGTTATATTTTATCTCCCCGCCCCCGCCCCGTTTCGGTCTCTGACAAATAGGCATAAAACGTAGTAAAATAAGTATTAAGATACGAGTTTTGGTTAGTTCGTTTATCATAATTATAAGTCATAAAAATTTAAGAAACTAAAAAAATAGTAAGAAGAGATTCTTTCACATTATTTTCAATGTAAAGATAATATGAATTCAAACAGGAAATCAGTGATGAATACTTTTCTTTGTCTTTACAGAAAGGTTTGCTGAATAATACTTGGTATTGTTTTTTTTTCAAAAATGAATAATTTTTGTGATTGAGAAAGAGATCTAAGCATGTATTACTAAAGAAGAGAAGTGTAGATGGACATTGATTTTGTGCACATCGACCATGGTTTTGTTTTTTCCTTTCACTTAGTTCTATGATTGAGAGGAATTATTGTCAATGAACGCAATGAAAAACAACGTCTTTTTCATTGTTTTCTTTTTTTAACTATTGAAAATGTTATCGTTTACTTTCTGAAAAAGTTGGCATAGATTGATTTAATTTGACTTGCTTCATTTCTATTTAATTATCTTGATAAATCTCACAGGTATTATTAGAAATATGAAACTACAAGAAAAAACGACATTACTCTGGTTTCTTTGATCCGCTGATATTTAACATAGTAAGTTGTCCGATGAGAAATCCGAAAAGATTGACTCTGTTCGATTTTTCTTCTCTTGCCATTTAATTGCACTCAGAGCAAACACGCATTTTGTCGAAAGCATACAAACGCAGCAGGCAAATAATTCAGTTTATTTTCCTTTCTTTTATCATTTATTCGTTGTGAGAATACGATTGCATATTTTATAACGCAAAAACATACTATGGGTATGGCATGTGACTGTGAGTTGATTGAAGACAAAAACACCCGCACACCCATACAACCACACCCAGTTTTTGACTGATGTCCTGGCTATGGTCCTGATTTTCCAACATAGACCGCTGCCATCCTTGGCTGCTTCCAAATGATATTGGGAACTTACGTTTTGAAACGACTCATAGAATAAAGGGCAGCGATAGCGATGAGTCACTTAATAATGAATTATTCTCAATTTTACACATGCGATAAAAATGCTTAATAGAAATTTCCTTTTGTAATGAACTGATTTTCATTATAGTTGTGCTCGAGTAATTATTCAATGTTTTACGATGAAGAACTATGGGTTTTACATTCACGGTGATTTCTAGTCTGGTTATTGCATGATGGTGCACTTCTGTTAATGGAGAGAATTTTCCATGTCAATCAGTTCTCGCTATATTTCAATGATAAAGTATAAATGTGTCAATCTATCGGATTGAAAATGAATCAATCATGCAAAATTCGACTAGGGAAATTTGACATTCTAGCACGAATTAAGTATATCAATTGTTAAGCTTTCTGACGACTTATAAAATTTATATGACTCCCATTACATTCAAAAGTAACAGGAATGAAAAATTATTCACAACTTGATATGCAAGTTTATGACAAGAAAGAACGCATAGCTTTTCCCCAATAAAACAGAACTGTCATATATCAAGATTATTTATGATTCGAGATTGTTTGAGGCCGGATTTTTTATCTTTCATGAGGGTGGGTGTGGGTGGAGAAATACTTTTTATTGTCCTCTCTTTGCTTACTTAGTCCCACACCCACACCCAACTTTCATGGCATAGGTAGTCCACTGAATCTACCTACAAATAAAGGTACTTTGATATTAATATCGCGTAAATAAAATAGAAAAGGTCGTGAAAATGTCAGTTGAATTGGTTCTTCATGTAGAAACACGCCTGAAAACCGAGTCAGTTGAATAACAGTAGCAGCAGCTGCTTCAGTTCCACCTTCATCAACATCAATAACAGCTTTATGTATAATTTTCGATATAAATAAATTACGTGCACGTGTTGAACTCATTAAACTAAAATCTGCTTTATAAGCATCAAACGGTATTTTAACATTATAATATTGTTTAAAATATGGAACAAAATTTAATGATGATTCAATACGAAAGGGGGGGGGGGGGGTGGTAAAGACCGGAAATCTGCCCCCCAGAAAAATCTCATTTTTTTCCCAGGAAACGGGACAA